GAGAAGACTTATCTTTGTTTCCCTCACTTCATCGGTTCCTTCATGAGTGACTTGGAGCGTATCCCAAATCTCTTTGGCACTGTAACAAGATAAGATTCTTCCATATTCATCTGGGCCTAAAGCACAAAAGAGAATATGCATAACCTTGGCATTATGCTGGAACTTTTTCTTCTCTTCATTACCCCAATCATCCCAATCATATATGTCACCGGGTAGAGTGGATTAACCCTTCATGATTGAGTTCCAAGCTCCTAGATCGTAGGCTCGAATAAAGAACAACATCTTATTCTTCCAATGGACATAATTTGCTCCATTTAAGAAGGGTGACTTGTTGACCAGTTGTAAATCCACAATAGGTAAATCTTCAATGTAATAGGCACCAGGAGGAAAAGTAATTTCTTTTCGGTTTCTTTGGAAATTGGTAGAGCTACTTCTAGGATCGTCTCAAGGTGGTTAAACTTTCTAACAAGTTAGGCTCTGATACCAATTGTTAGGATTTGCGGAAGCTCGAATCGATAATCGAAATGATTTCCAAAGAGGGTTGGGATTGATTTTTGTGTTTAGGGAGAAAGGAGATTGAAATATAAAGAATTACACAGCGATTTATAGTGGTTTGACTTCTCAACTAAGTCTACATCCACTACCTTAGCTCCTCAACAATGATTTTCCAACAAATTCACTAATTTATTATTTCTTTTTATATGATCAAGAGTAACCTTTACAATCTCCCTAGTTTTTCACAGGATAAACTAAAACCTTTCTCTAGCTTTTCATGGGCTCAGCTAAAACCAAAACCCTTTTACAATGAAAGGAAATGTAAACAAGAAAACCTCTCTAAGGTAGGTGTTTACAAGAATTAAGCTCACAAGAACAAAATATTTACAAGAGAAAGATGAAATAAGATTAAAAAACTCTTCTCTTGTGTTTGATTGCTTGGATAGTTGTTATGTATTTTCTTCAAGTATCCTCAGCTTGTTTTTATAGCTTGAAATGAGTTTGAAGTCGTATCTAGCCGTTGGGGATTAATTTTCTGCAAAATAAAATTGCCCAGAACAAATAGTATCGGTACTCCTTCGATGGATATTGATACTGTTCATTATTGTTCACATAGTATCTGTACTATTCATACAGTATCGATACTATTAATACAGTATAATACTATTTATAAAAACATGTTTGTGCTCAATTCCAAATTAAATGGACTTTGAATTATTTTTGTAAACTTTGAAAACTTTGAATAAATTCAATTCAAGTTCAAAAACATTTTTGTCATAAATTGTTATATCAAAACATAGTTCAACAATATTTTTTCCAGCTTTAGAATTTTCAAATTCATGGTGCTCATTGCAGTTGATTAAAGCTCAGAAAATTACAATTCCACTCTGATAAGTGACGTTGCTAGAAATTCACCTTGTACCAGAAAGATCTAGGCTTATCAAAGAAACCATTTAGCACAAAAGCACTCTTGACTGTCAAAGAAAATAAAATATCTTACCTCCCGATGCTTATGATTCTCTTCGTCTTCTTCCTTGTCACGAATTCTCCAAAGATCCATTGCCTCTCTCTTGTATTCCAATTCCAATTCCAATTCATCTAATGCTTGAGGGAAGGCACAATATTCAAACTGATTGCCATATTGCAAATCAGATGCTCGTCTCTCCATATCCCATCCATCAGTTCTATAAGCTCCCATGTTTCGATTCCTAACTGAGTTGTCAGCATGTGGTAAACGACCTGGGGATTTAGAGTGGATTGAGCGACCTCTAGCTCGATCATTACCATAAGCTTCATGAAATGAAACGGTATGGTAAGTACTTGATTCAAATGTGCAAAAGATCAGCTTTTACTAGACATATAATCTTGTATTCACAAAGTGAACCCATCCGATGAAATCCACAAATGCTTTCAGTAAATAAGTCTGTTTTGTAGACAATCCATTCGGTTTGGACCAAATCTTGACATTACTTCAGAATTGTATACATAACGCTTGAACATAAGTACTTACCTCTTGCTGCAAACAAATGGTAAGCAGTAAGCATCATTATTAAAATTTACAATCAATTTTTTATACGAACATACAGGGAAACCTACACAGCAAACAAGCCACGAGTCTGGGATTACCAGCTTTATATTGATGTTGTAAACATATCCTATGCTTTCCCCACCTTGCGAAGAATTTCTAGAAATTTTCCGTAGATCCTCACGAGCAGGGTCTTCTACGGCCTTATCTTGCCTACCAAATCGTCGTTGAAAGTGTGGTGAATTATGTGGCCCCGAACGAGCCCTTTGTGATTCTGGGCATTGTAACCATGCACCAACAGGACTTCATTCAGGGGACCTTGATCTGATCATGTGAGAACTAGAACCCCTTTGAATACCTTCATCCTTTACTTTGTGGACCTTGATTGTCTTTCAGCCTATCCTGTGCCCTGGAAGCCGTCGACCCAAGCGGACCAGTGTATTCCTTGTAAAGCTCACTGAAATCATCATCGATTTCTCGGCCTGGTCTGTTTGCCATTGATATTAAAACTAACAAACCATATATAATTCCCTGCCCAACCTATTACATTAATCAATAACTATAAACTGGAAGTAAAATTTTGCGGGTAAAAGAATATAGGCAGAGAACATTTATGATTCTTATAAGCTAACAATTTCCAGAACTGTTTCTAGGTTTTGAATTGGAATCCCATAAATCTACCTATAAAATTGCAATGTAAAAATTCATTCGTCTCACACACGTACAATCAGTTCAACGAAAAAAAAACGCAGAAATAAAAGAGGAAGAAAATTTACACCCAAAAAAAAAAGCCCTCGAGCGCCGAACAACTACGACGAATATGAAATCTTATAGGGCTGCGGCTGCGGCTGCGGCTGCGGCTGCGGCTTTTACTTCTGTTTTTGGGACATGTCTTTGGATTTTGGAGTTTTATTTTAATAAATATACTAAATTTATTATATAAAATCAGATAATCATTCAGGTTTTAATTGGATCTTATCAGGTCAGGTAAAATCGGATATAGGTCATGCCAGGTCAATTTGATGGTTTAACTCGGATCAGGTTTGGTCCAAGTCAAATCAATTCGAGTCATTTTCAGATTGATCTGATATCATATTCAGTTTGGGTTCAGGTCGGGTTGATGTCAGTTAAAGTTTGGAGTAGTTAAACATCATGTTAATTCAGGTTCGGATGGACTTTAGTCGGATCTCATTCAGATTAAGTCACATCATTGACAGATAAAATTTATGTCGGATCTTTACTGGATACAAATTTAGTTCATGTTGGACCATTTTTTATTTTTGGATTAATTATTTTTCGTCTTTTGTGAACATCAAATTGCAATTTGTAATTATATATGATTTAGAATAAATTACTAAAAATATAAATAATCATGGATCAATTTGTATAAAAATATAAATTTAAGGACTAAATTGAATAAATATGAAATTATAAATAAAAATTTAAATAAATTAAACAACACACATTAATGAGGGACCAAATCAAAATAATTTTAAAAGGTGAGGTTGAAATTAATATAAAAAAGGATTAAATTATACCCATTTAAAAAGTTATGGGTTAATTACAAAAATATAAATAAGAAATAAGTATGGCCAAATTCATATACAAATATAATTTGAAGGATTAAATTGAAAAAATATGTGATTGAACGAATTAAAATTTAAATAAATTAAAGAACACAAAGGGATCAAATCAAAATAATTGTAAAATATGAAGAAAATCTAAAAATAAATTAAATTGCATTCATTTCAAAAGTTAAAAAAAATTAAAACAATTATAATATATTAATATATATATATATATATATAATAATATAATATATATATACTATATAGTTTATATTTATATACTATATCTAAACTATATAGTATGTAAACTATATATATTATAAACTATATAGAAACTATATAATATATAAATTATGTAAATTATATTTATATATTATATATGAACTATATATATTATATATATTATGTATAAACTTAATATATATATATACTATATACATAAACTATATAGTTTATATATAAACTATATATGAATTATTTTGTTAATTAATATGAACTATGTAGTATATATGTTATATATAAAAACTATATAGTTTATTAATATAAACTATGTAAACTATTTATATATATATTATATATGTATATGAACTATATAGTATATATACTATATATATATAAACTACATAGTTTATTAATATAAATTATGTAAACTATTTATATATATTTATTATATATAAACTATATATATAAATAATATATACTATATATATATAAACTATGTAATATATATATATATATAATCTATAGTTTATTAATATAATATAGTTTATATAAAAATATTAATTATAGTTTATATGTTTATCAATATAAACTATATTCTAATATATATATATAGTATGTAAACTATATAGAAACTATATAATATATAAATTATGTAATTTATATTTATATATTATATATGAACTATATATTATATATATTATGTATAAACTTAAAATATAAATACTATATACATAAACTATATAGTTTATATTTATATACTATATATACAAACTATATAGTGTATATATGAACTATACATAAACTATATAGTTTATATATAAACTATATATAAATTATTTAGTTTATTAATATGAACTATATAGTATATATATTATATATAAAACTATATAGTTTATTAATATAACTATGTAAACTATTTATATATACTATATAAACCATATATATATATATATATATATATATATATATATATATATATATATGAACTATATAGTATACACTATAAGAAAATATACCTTTAATGACACGTGATCGATGACACACGCTAATTTATGACTTGTAAAAAATGTGTGTCATAAAAAAATGTTATGTTTCTTAAAATCTAAATGATTTATGACTTATAATAATGTGTGTCATATTTAATAGTCATAATCCAAAAAATTTAGCAAACACACTTTTCATTGTGTGTCATCTCTAAAAGTTGTCTTTTAATTCGGGAACTATACATTTTAGCCTAAAATAAATAAAAAATAAACATGTTCTAGTTTACCCAAATAAATAATAAATCGAATCATTCGACTCCGAAATCAGACCCTCAAACAATCATCGATTTGATCGAATTCAAACTTTTCAAACGAAATATTAAAATTATTTATATTTCTCTGAAGAACAAGTCTCGGTTCCAACCTTGAAATGGGGAAGGATGGAATACCCGATTGGCTCAACAGTTCGCTGTGGTCCACAACTCTCAGCGGCGGTGTCGACCGCATCCACTGTCACTCCCCTTCTCCCACCATCTCCTCCAATGTTGTCTCCGAGCCAATTGTTCAGCCTCCGGTTCCCGTGCCTCCTCTTGCTGCGGCCTCGAGTCCTCAGTCCACTGCTACTTCCCCCAAATCTGAATCTAGAGATCGAGTTGATAAAAATAGTGACGATAATAGCAATGATAATGACCAAAACGCTAGCTCTTCCAGCGGTTCTCCGGATGATATCTCTCTCCAGGCTCAGCTTTTAACCAAGGTTTTTAATTGTTTCTCCATTTTTTTTACTGTTTTTCTTCTTTCTTTCTTTCTAATTCCCATCTTCTTCGTTTCAGTTGTCAAATATGGTAGTAAATTTGCGGGAACTGCGACAGATTGTGTCACAGGGAATTCCTGAAGGTGCAGGAATTAGGTCTACAGTGTGGAAGGTGGTGTCTCTTTCTTTTCTATTTGGTTGTTGAGAAATTTTGAAATTTGTTGAGATTCCTATATTTTTAGTCTCTGAATCGAATGAATCATCAATTCCCATGCATTGAAAGTTGCTTTTCTTTTCTTTTTGGATTAATGTTGAGGTAGGGTTATTTGGTTGCTCTGGCAGTTATTATTAGGGTATCTACCACCAGATCGTGTGTAGTGGTCGTATGAATTAGCTAAGAAAAGGTCTGAGTACAAACATTTTAAAGAAGAGCTATTGATGCATCATGTAAGTGTTTCCTTTTCCTTTTGCGTGTTAAAATAGTGTAATAGATGAATCCCTATAGGTCACAATTGCAATTTAGTTATAAAACCGTGTAATTTAATATCATATTTGATTTCATCACATGCAAGTAAAATCAATAATGGTTACTGGAGAAATGTCTAAATGTTGACACAAATTTCTGTGTGTCGTCTGCACCCATAGATGACGCACAATGGGCGTCATTAAAGGGGTTTTTTCTAGTAGTGATATATACTATATATATATAAACTACGTAGTTTATTAATATAAATTACGTAAACTACTTATATATATTTATTATATATAAACTATATATATATAAATAATATATACTATATATATAAACTATGTAAACTATATATATATATATATATATATATATATATATATTATAGTTTATTAATATAATATAGTTTATATAAAAATATTAGTTATAGTTTATATGTTTATCAATATAAACTATATACTAATATAATATATAAACTATAGTTTATATAAACTATATATATATATAAACTATATATGAATAATTATAAATTATATAGATTATTAATATAAACTATAGTTTATTAATATAATATTAATTGAAAGAATTGAAAAATATATAGGTATCAAATTGAAAGAATTAAAAATATAAAGCTTAAATTGCATTATTACCTTTAGACTAAATTGAACGAATTTAAAACATGGGGACGGCGCTACAATGTCAATTAAACTTCATAAACACGCGGGGTAAGAGGACTGAATTTTAAGAATTATATAAACCATTTTTTTCTAATTTCGATCATTTTTCTATTTTTTCTCATTCTTTGATTTTTCTCTCTCTACATTCCGATTCTCTCAAAATCCTCTAAATTCTCTCAAAATATCATCCACAAACACTCAAAACCCATAAAACATTTAATTTTTTTTTATCAAACACCACAAATTCAACCCTTGTTCATTCGTGTTCATCCCAAAAACCATCATTTGACCTTTACATAAACCAAACCCTATCATATTTTTTCAATCAAACACCCAAAAATTCAACCCTTGTTCATATGTGTTCATCCCCAAACCCCTCATTTGATTTTTACAAACAACAAAACCCATAACCTATCTTGTTTTTTCATTCAAATACCCCAAATTCAACCCTTATTCATCCGTGTTCATCTCCAAACCCTTCTTTGATCCTTACAAACACCCAAAACCAAAATCAAATCTTTTTTATCAAACCAAAAATTAAACCCTTGTTCATCTATATTCATCCCCAAACCCTTGTTTAATCCTTACAAACACACAAAACCAAAACCCAACCTAGTTTTATATCTAACCGAGTATTATTTGTAACACCCTCAACCCATATCCGACCCGAATCCGAGTCCAAGGTGTCATATTGACTTTTCAAAACGTTTTTCTTAACCAAATGGAAAAAATTTAACTTCACAATTCAAGAAAACAAATATTTTACATTAATTAAAATCAATTGGTTTTTACAAAACATATCAAAGCATATTCAACTCCAGTTTCTTAGTACATGCCAACTAAATTTAATATAACAAAGAACACATGATTCAATATTATTTTCTGATCTGAACTTTGTAAAGGAGAGGCTGACTTGTCTTGCTCATCTTAGCTTCTCTTCTTGCTTCTTGAAACCTACGGGTGAAACACTCACACGCTAAGTCGAAGACTTAGTGAGGCATAAATAAACTTAACTATAACATCTCATTACTAATTCCTACTATGCACACTTCATGTAATAATACTAAACTAAAGAACACATTATTAGCATTATTATCATTCATATCACTTAGTTATAAGCTCTTGTACCTAACATTATTAACCAAACAATGTACACATTATAATATATTTCTATAACACATTTCATATTACACAAGCATATACATCACATGTAATATGTTTATTGTTATCTCTTTATTAGCCTATGTACACATGTGAGAACTAAAGATATGCGAGTACATAGAGGTTGTGCACTTATGTTGTCACCACAGCTCGTATAATTCCCACTAGGGGCACATAGGATTTGTCTCGAAGGACCACATATAACGCACATGTCCCGAAGTACCACTCCTTAAGGACCATATACATATTTCAATGGATCAAATAAGTGTACCAAAGTACCGCATATATGTTCCAAAGGATTACATATATGTCTCGAAGGACCACGTAGAACCCTCGACTCTTGGCATGCCAACTATACCCCTAACTCTCTTATCACGCAACATGGGCATTATCCTTTATGACATTTCACATATTCACATAGGCATGTAGAACATTTCCATATAATCTACATATCACTTATAACATGGCTTGTCACATATACGCATTCATATTACATAGTCATATAAGCTCGTGGCCTCTTATCACATATATCATGTAATATTCTCATAGAGTCTTATATCTCATTATCATATATCTCATATCACATATTCTTGTATTCATATATTCACATATATCAGGTAACATCTATAATCACCTACCATATGTTTATATAATCCCTTTTCTCCATATCATATAACTTATACCATATTCTTATTTAATCACATAAATTATTTATATCTATTCAGATGATTTACTCACTAACATGTATTCACACATATCAAGTAATATATACCATAACATATAACACTTATACTCATATCAAACACAGGCTTATATTCATTAATTCATGCATTCTAATATAGAAAATAGACTCGTCGCAATTCTTATTTCCATTACCCATCATATAACAACTGATATGCACTCACCTGGCCTCACTAGTCAATGCCGATCTCTTATCTCTTTCTTGATGACTATAACTTGGTCGACTTGTCCGGACTTTGCTCTCGATCACTATCTACATGAATACACAATCCAATAAATATTGGAATTCAAAATCCTTGCAACGATTCTTACTATTGCAAGCTAATCAAAGCATAAATCTCTAAATTCCAGCTCAAGTAGTATCGGTACTACAAGCACAGTACAAATACCTCTATGCTTGTAGTATCAATACCCTTCCACGGTATCGATACTAAATTTTGGTTATGCCATCCCTATTTCAAAATGGTACTGTGTAACAACCCGAAAATTTCAAAATAATATTTAATTGAAATTTGAGGTTTTAATTGTGATAATTGGTAAATTGTGGGGACTAAATTAGAAATTTTTAAAACTTATAGCTTATTTTAGAGTTAAAGAAAATTCAGGGACCAACCTCAACTTCCGACTACGATCCCGACGCCGTCCGAATTCCGATCGTCGTTTTAAAACCACCATCGTGTTCGTTATCGAGTGAGGAACAATTTCCTTAAATTAATTAAGGTGAAATGATGCCAAACGTCGGGAATCTCCAATCAAAGTCTCAACGTTCGTTTTAGCTCAATCGCTGAGAAAATCTTAAATTCATCGCCGATCGTTGCTCCGTTTACGACACCTCCCGCACCATCGTGTTCCTTGTGTCGTTCCGAGTCCGCCGGTGTCATCCTCGGTCTCTGTCGACGGCGGCGTGTGGGGAGGTGAAGCGGTCAAAGTTTCCGATTTGATGAAATCGAGCTCTTCGCCGTTCAAAAATTTGAACCAATCTTTGTAAGTATCTCGAAATCGCTCAAAATATTTTTTAGAATTTTTCCGTGAATTTAACGCTGCCATAAACAATCCCACGCGCCGTCACTACGCGTAGGGAACCCCAAAATAACCGTTTTGACCGGTTATATTCAAGGGTTGACCAGTTTGACCGGTTTTGACCCAACCCGTTGACCCGACCCAACCCGCTGACCCGATCGTTGATCGTTGATCGAGTGACATTTTGGGAATTAATTCAAAATGGGTGCTATTTTAGGAATTAATTCGAAATGGGTGCTAGTTTGAGAATTAATTCGAAAAAAGGTGATATTTTGGGAATTTAATTCGAAAAAGTGCTATTTTAGGAATTTAATTCGAAAAGGTGATATTTTGGTAATTATTTTAAAAAGGGTGCTATTTCTGTAAAATGGTTGATAGTTTGTTGACCTCCTTTGACCAGAACTTTGACCGGCTTTGACCGACCATTAAACAACCGTTAATCTTTTTCTAGAATACTTATCCTGACATTTTTTGACGTTCCGAATCCGTTTTTGGGGTCGGTTTCACAAAATTCAAACCCGAATGTCTCAAAATTTTCAGTCAAACCCTTTGACTTTGACTTTGACTTTGACCAAGAATTTAAATATCCGAAAGGTTATACTTTATGTTTTTCGACGTCCTAAATCTGATTCCAAAGTCCGTTTTGCCAAATTCTGACATGAAATTCTCGAATCGAGCTTGTAAACCCAAAAGGCTTAATATTTCAATATTTTGATTATTTATTTGAGATTTGGCTAAGGAATTGATTCAATAAAAATATTTTATTAAGGTACTCGTGTTTCACTTGAGCAAGGATCAGTTAGGACTGGTGTTTTCCGTTCGTTAGATCAGCCTGAACCGCGTACTACGAGAATTACCCGTAGGTTTCCGTATATTATTTAAATAATATTTAGAATATTTATATTAGGTTTCCAATATGGATTTTTCTAATTCATAGGATCTAGCGCTGCAGCAGAGCGTGATCGACAAACCCAGCAATAAGCTTCCCTATCTGATTTCTCAGACTGTTACAGGTGTGTTTACTGACAGTGTTATCTTACTGTTTTAAACTATCATATAAATGGTTTCAAATTTATGATGATGTTGAATATTATTACAACATGATACCTGTTTTATGAATACTGGTTACCGACACCTGATTTACCGGATATTACTAATCTTATGTATGGTTTATGTAATTTTGCATATGATTTCTAAGCATGAACCATTTTCATGTTTTAATGGATTAATATTTATTTCACCTAAATACATAAATGTTTATTTCTGTCACTGGGATATTACTGAGGGAAGTATTTCAGGCTCCTTTGCTGTGTGCTCAGGGTAAGTCCTTACTGGTGTGCAGGTGGGTGTATGGTTCTGGGGAACCTACACATTGTAGTGATTGGAGTGACTGGATGGGGAAGTTATTACTGCAGGCTCCTTTGCTGTGTGCTTAGGGAAAGTCCTTACTGGTGTGCAGGTGGGTGTATGGTTCTGGGGAACCTACACATTGTAGTGGTGGAAGCGACTGGATAGAGACGTTATTACTACAAGCT